AGTGTCCGACTGAGACGATCCAGGCAGAAGAAGGTGATGTTGGTACAATTCAGTGTCGTCTGGATCCCTCTCTCCACCTGGAGGATTATACACTGGATATAAAGAGAGATAACGAGATCGTCCACGCCTATCGACATGGAAAGGACCTCACTGATCCACAGATGGAGCGATACAGAGACAGAACAACTCTCATCCATGAAGACCTGAGCAGAGGAATCGTGACACTGCAGATCTCCTCAGTTCAGCTGAAGGACAGTGGACTGTACCGATGTTTTGTTCTAGGGCTGAGAGCTGGTTGTACCACTGTCCTTAATGTTGGTAAGCATGAGGACTTTACTGCTGTACAGGACATTTTAGGATTTATTTCATTCAGTATTTATCACAGATAGTGAAGAAGTTTGTTCCTGAATAAAACACGTGATTTTAAAAAGTGATTAAACAGTTTATTTCTCATTTGAAACAGTGAAAAAAGTCCAACACAACAAGACGAGGACAGATGATGTCATGACCACCACCTCGCCACCAAACCCTGGTAAATGTCTTTGATTCATTCTCTAGGAAACTTGTAGAGAAACTGTTCTTCGTCTCATCTGGACACTTTCTGATTTTCCTTCAGATGCTCAGACAGTGAGTGTCGGTGCCGTTGTTGGTGGAGTTCTCGGTGCTGTTATTATTATTATTATTATTATCGTCCTGGTGAAACATGGAATCATCAGTAAGTCTGAAAATCTAATATTTCACAATAATAAAATCAAAGATTGAAGAAAAGTGTAAAAACTAAAAACAGATGTGTGTATCAGAAGTTTGTTTCTTCTTCTTTACTCTCCATTAATCGTCTCACGACCCCTCAGATTTACCTGCAGACCCTTTGGAGGGGCCCGACTCTTAGATCAGGATCCACTGCAGTTAACACAAACATCCTTTAACAAGAGTCACCAACTGCTTCTCTCTCTCAGGGAGGAGTGAGGAGAGGCTGCGGGGAAGAAGGGAGCAGGAACCAGAGATGGAGGGAGGAGGAGGAGGAGGAGAAGAACCTGCAGAAGCAGCTTGTTAAGCATCATGTCAGAGGTGTAGTGGTGGTGGAGGGATGCTGCTGGAGCGAGAACACAACCATTCACTACCTGACGGATAAAAAGCAGATTCCCAAAGTCTCTGCTGAACTAAGAGACATGAAACCTCCGTGTGAAGACGAGTGAAGGTGTTTCAACACAACTCAAACACAACAGCAGTCGTGATGAGTTTGGGTCAGAAGCACAGTTTTGGAAAAGGGAAAATTTCATAGAGAAAACATCAATAAAATATACAGGATAATATAAAAACAGGGACCAGTCAGTTTACACATACAAATGAAATGGGAACAGACGTTGTCATGGAAACGTGTAATCAGGAAATACTTTTGGGTTTGGATGTTGGCATGAATGTATTATCATGTGCTAACCTGAGATCTGCCACAACTGTGTCCACCTTTATAATCACACTGAAAACCTTTGTATTTTCTTTTAGTTTAGTTTTTTAATGTAGTTTCTCTTTTGCTGGCGTCGCTTTCTCTTAAAACAAACAGTATTTTGATGCTGGTTATACTTTCATGTAAGGAATCTTAATGTAAAACACTGTAATCATGTTGTGTTCATAAAAGTGCCTTTCCTGGGTGGCATAATGTTTTGATACAGCAGCTATGCAATAATTTGACACAGGTCTTGGTTAATGATTAAGATATTCTATAAGATTTGGTTCCCCTTTTTAGAATATATTGATACTAGACTGAGGGCCGTTGTGTTCAAGGTCCTGGTGGACCACGGTCAGGGAACCACACTATGTACTAATGCATAACTGATTTTCTATGGGGTTGCATGGATTACAATATATCTACTGTAAATCAGTGGTTGTCAAACATTTCCACATCACCGAGCCCTAAACTGACACGAATTAGACCACGACCACGATTAGATAAGATTTATACTTTCAGATGTTTAAGTACAGAAAGTGTTTGAAACCCATGACCAGAATATTCACACATTCTGTCAGTGTGTTAGTTATATATGGATTATAGTGAAAATAAATGATTCCCCTCTTTGCTGGGAACGCCCCTTTGAGAACCACTGCTGTAAGTGTAAGTGTCAGTGATGCTGTTACATCAGTGCAAGACTTGTCTCTAATGGCTGATCCCCCATTAATTTATCTGTTACTTTATTTTATCATTATATCTCAGCGACAGTCAGGGCCAGAGACATTAAGTCGTCAGGTCTCGACTTCCCTTTGAAGTGTTTGACATCGTTTATGTTATGATTTGCTGTTAAACCAATAGACCTGAATTGAATTGAAATCATGTTTTCAGGTCGTCCGTCCGTCACATTCTCATGAACGTGATATCAGTCACGCCTCGAGGGAACTTCTTCAAATATAAACATTCACTTGGAGGATGACCTAATTAGATTTTGGTGGTCAAATGTCAAAGGTCACTGTGACCTCACAGAATATGTTTTTGGCCAGAACTCATGAATTCATTCACTAATTATGACAATTTAACTCAAATGTTTATAAGGATAAAATTAATTGATGATTTTAATTACGAAAGGTCAAAAGTCATCTTCACTGTGACATCATAATGTTCTGCAGAAAAACCTCTGGCCTTTATTCATCTGTAACTGAGGAAAGAGAGACTGTGAGATGTTAACCAAAAAAAGCCTTTTCTGTAAATAAATGTATTGTTTCTTTTGCCATTGTGGCTGATTATTATTAATGTATTCAGAGTCGCTTGCTCTTATATAACATGTAGTATCATCCACACAGACAGTTTGGTTTTATTTGTCCTCACAGAGTTTCAGCCACATGAAGTCTGCAGGACACATTTTTGGGATTTAGATGCAACATAGATAATTGACTAAAACCAGCATACACTGTAGGATGACAACAAGGGCATTAATTCACTTTTGTAGTTTAATCACATTTATACTACACCATAAAATATAAAGTATGGAGACTTTTATTGAGACTAAAGTAAAACGTATTGAGACTTTTAAGTGAAGGTAATGGGACAGCACTTATATCATTTCACCTTGATGATGCGAGAACATTTGCATTCAATTGTGGGTTTGAGACTTTTGATTGTACGTTTTTATTCCCTCCCTTCGCTTCCTATTTGTAAACAAAAATAACAGTGTTGGAAAAGATCTTATCCAATTTGGATATTTGAAATTCATCATTATGTCATCATGGGACAAATAACTTCTGTGTTTATACTGTTATACACTGTATGTTGTCTTGTAAAGCTAACGTTAGCGTTAGCTCCTTTCATGCCTGTTTGTTAACCGTTCTTCTTCTGTCTTATTATTTCACAACGCTATGAACTTTGGGTAATTCTCCAAGACAAAGTGTGCAGAAATGCAGACTTACAGAAAGTTTGAATAAAGGGCTCAAAGTGTCTGTTAGACAGTCCTCATGTCCTCGATGTAGGGCAGAAATAAATCCTCACGGACTTACACTAAAGATCCTCCATTCAGTTTCTCTACTGTCTCTGCTTGTACCGGTGAAACCTCTCCATGTCTGTGAGGGCGGACGTTGGGACCGGGCCATAGTGGCAGTTTCTGCACATGCGCAGTTCATAAAAAAAAGCAGCTCTGGCCTGTGTAAGACGTTAACTTTGTTCCTCTGTCTACCAACCTACAGGTACTGTAAAACTCACTTTTATATTCTTCATACACGGATGTAAAACTCTTGTAGCAGCGGTATTAGTTGTTGTGGAGAGTGTTCGGAGAGTTTTGAGACGTGTAAGATTTTGCAGCGGGTTTGTTTTTGGTCAACGACGGTTATCTTTCACCGGAAGTCTGCGCAGTAGTTTTAAAAGTGTATGTACTCGACACTAGTGTTAAGTGACGTGGTTAAACGTGTTGTTAATGTTGTCAGGATGTTAACCAGCCATTAACGAGGAAACAGGGAAAGGAGAAATCCCACATTTCAACTGTTTTCACTGTCGCCGTCATGATGGGGATGGGCCTGTTGGTCGCTGCCGCCATGGCGTGCGCGCGCGTGTATGTGTCGTGGATGAGTATTGATAGTGTTGAATGAGCGTAAACAGGATTATATTATGCTAAAGTGTATGTACTCGATACTAGAATTAAGTGGTAGCTCCTTAACACAACCGATGTATATAAACAAAGGAACATGAAAATAATAGAAACTTTCCCGTTTTAAACAAACGTTTAAACGTAAATGTAAATCCCTGCTTTACTGTACAATCGATTTTAAACTAGCGCGACCGTGCCTTTTAGAGAGTCTGCTGTAAACGTCAGTGCTTGGACTGGTTAGAAAAGAATGCAACCGGAAGTTAACACGATGACTCCTGAACTGTGCTCTGTGCAGAACTGTCTCAGTCCAAGATATTTTTTAAAGCTCCTCCTCTTTTGTGCTGCATCTTACGTCTCTCACCAGCTCCATGTGTTTAAGCCAGAGGTGTGTCTGCGAAACACATTCCTCTTGTAGCAGCAGTTCCCCCCTCTTGTAGCAGCAGCGTATTTCTCTCACCAGTCAGTCTCCGCTGCAGGAGCAACAGAGGAGGATAAATTAGTTTCAGCCTCAGACTGTAGACTGAGATTTTAACGCGTTTCTTTAAACTTTTATACGTGGAAACTTTTGAAGACGCTTCTTCTGTGAGTGCAGGTGTCCTGATAACTTCATCTTCTTTTTCTCACTCAATAATGGACATGAGGCTGTTCACTGCCCTGTTCGCTTTACCATTGATCCTGGGTGAGTTAGTGCTGAACTTCTGTTCACAGTGAATCTACGTCTGTTTGGATTCTGCTTCATTAATGATTATTATTCTGATATTTATACTGTTGAAACTTTTAAGGGCTTTTTAAAACATTGAATGTGTTTATTTTCAGTTTGAGATAAAATTGAATGGCAAATAGACTTTTTTAAAAGTTTATATTGTTGAGAATAACAAGTTGTTTTTTGGGCTATTTTTATTTGCCTTTATTAGAGAGAGAGAGGAGCGAGAGAGGGGGGAGGGAGAGAGAGGAGAGGGAGGGAGAGAGGAGAGGGGGAGAGAGGAGAGAGGAGAGGGAGAGAAAGGGGGGGTAAGGAGAGAGGGGAGAGAGGTGAGGGAGAGAGAGGTGAGGGAGAGAGAGGAGAGGGAGAGAGAGGTGAGGGAGAGAGGAGAGGGAGAGAGAGGTGAGGGAGAGAGAGGAGAGGGAGAGAGGAGAGGGAGAGAGGAGAGGGAGAGAAAGGGGGGGTAGGGAGAGAGGAGAGGAGAGGGAGAGAGAGGTGAGGGAGAGAAAGGGGGGGTAGGGAGAGAGGGGAGAGAGGAGAGGAGAGGGAGAGAGAGGTGAGGGAGAGAAAGGGGGGGTAGGGAGAGAGGGGAGAGAGGAGAGGAGAGGGAGAGAGAGGTGAGGGAGAGAAAGGGGGGGTATCTCTGTGTTTCCTCCTGAAACAATCATTTGGCACCGGGCCATAGTGGCAGTTTCTGCACATGCGCAGTTCATAAAAAAAGCAGCTCCGGCCTGTGTAAGACGTTAACCTTGTTCCTCCGTCTACCAACCCACAGGTACTGTAAAACTCAGTTTTATACTCTTAATACACGGATGTAAAACTATTGTAGCAGCGGTATTAGTTGTTGTGGAGAGTGTTCGGAGAGTTTTGAGACGTGTAAGATTTTGCAGCGGGTTTGTTTTTGG